ATATGTGAATATTGCAAGAAACCGAGGCATACAAAGGACACTTGCTGGAAGCTTCATCCTGAGCTTCTTCCTGATAGGTTTAAGAATAACAACAGTTCTAAAAAGGGCAGTCGGGTAGGAAAGCCTAAGACAGCTAATGTTGCTACAGTACCTGAAGAAGGAAATAAGGAGAGTGAAGAAAAATCAACCATTGAGCAGTTGGCAACAATGAAGGCGGATTTTGAAAAGTATGGGAGGYTGCTAAATCACTTGGAAGCTACTGTTTCTTCATCTCACTCTTCYAGCAACACATCATCATCATTTGCATTTTCTCACTCAGGTATTTGTGCTTCTACAAATCATGCTTCAATTTCAGTTAATCATAAAATCCCTTGGATTATTGATTCCGGTGCATCAGACCATATGACCAGCCTGTCTAATCTCTTCTGCTCATACCACCTTCTCTTTGGTAAAGAGAAAATATCCCTTGCTGATGGGTCTCTTGCTCCCATTTCTGGTAAAGGGGACATAAAGACCTCTGACACCCTTTATTTATCCTCTATCCTTCATGTCCCTAAACTTAATACRMACCTTTTATYTGWTAGYAGCTTAACTAAATCCATGAATTGTAGCATAACCTTTTTTCCCACTCATTGTGTTTTTCAGGACCTGCAATCTCAGAGGATGATTGGGAGTGGCCATGAGGCAAACGGAATATACTTGCTGGACACACCGGATAGAGCTTTTGGACCACCTCATGGAGTTTCCTTAGAGTCAGTCTTGTCAGAGTCTATTGACAAAGTCTTGTTATGTTACTTTCAGTTTGGTCATTTGTCTTTTCCTGCTTTGAGTCATTTGTTTCCAGATATGTTTAAGGGAGTGTCTTTATCGAGTCTTCATTGTGAGTCGTGTGAACTGACAAAACATTGTAGACATTCTTATTCAGTAAGCAATAAAAGATCTCTTTCTCCTTTTCATATTGTTCACTCTAATGTATGGGGGCCATATCATTTGCCAACTATGGGGGGTTACAGGTGCTTTATCCTTTTTATTGATAACTACTCTCGTTACACTTGGATTTATCTCATGAAATCCAGGGATGAAGTACCAGCTATTGTGCAAAAATTTCATGAACTCATTCTCACCTAGTTTAACACTCGGATCAAAATATTCCGTTTTGATAATGCTAAGGAGTATTTTGAGAAAACCCTCTCCGCCTATCTTGAAACCTTTGGGGTTATTCATCAAAGTTCTTGTTCCTACACTCCACAACAGAACGGAGTGGCGGAAAGGAAGAACCGGCATGTGGTTGAAGTTGCCAGATCCCTCCTGTTTGCATCCCATGTTCCTATAAAATTTTGGGGAGATGTTCTTACAGCTACCTTTTTGATCAACCATATGCCCTCCCAGGTTCTTAACTTCAAAACCCCCTTTAGCCTTCTCTTCCCGGATGAGGATATTTTTTCTCTTCCTCTCCGTGTTTTTGGGTGCACTTGCTATGTGCATGTTCACAGCCATCAAAGGCACAAATTTGAAYCTAAGGCTCGTAAATGTGTTTTTCTGGGATATGCCTCCACACAGAAGGGATATTGCTGTTTTGATCCAGTTAGTGGCACCCGCTTTGTATCTCGGGATGTCACATTTGCTGAGTTGACTCCTTTCTTTAGTATTTCTCCTGAGGGGGAGAAATCTGAAGAACCCTTTGCTATGTCTCCAGTTGTTCCTCTTCCCATTCCTCTTGAGTCCTCTCATGAGGTGTCCACTTCTCCCACTGGACCTACCTCCCAATATTCTTGTTCCTCCTCCTCCTCCACCTCATTCTCCTATAATTTCTCCTCATCCTGTTCTCCAAAGGTGGTACAAAAGGCACATATTCAAACATGGGCAAGTTGTTTCCACTCCTACAGAAGAGTCTCTTGCTCCTCCCATCATTACTGAGGTAACAGGTCAGCCTTCCTCTGATCCATCTCCATCTTTCCCAGACCTTGACCTTCCTATTGCTCTCTGCAAGGGCAAGCGGAAGTGTACAGCCCATTGTATCTCCAAGCACCTGTCTTACAACCTTCTCTCTCCTTCCTACTACTCTTTTCTTGCTTCTGTTTCTTCCCATGTGATACTCGGGTCCATACCAGAAGCCTTATCTAAACCTAAATGGAGGGATGCTATGATGGCTGAACTGGATGCTTTGCATAAGAACCATACCTGGGATATTATTGACTTGCCTGAAGGGAAGGAACCA